TGATCCTTGACTGCTTTTACCCCACACATAAAATTTAATTTGCAGTGGACTGTAGATCTAAATGTGAAAGCTAAAATGATAAAGCTTCTAGGAGAAAACAGGATAATTCTTCATGACACTGAGGTGACAAAGATTTCTGAGGACACAAAAATCACTAACCTTGAAATTAAAAAGTTATAAATTGGACTTCATCAAATTTAAAAACTGTTCACCAAAAGATGCCATCAAGAAAGTGAAAAAAGGCCAGCCACAGACTGGGAGATGTTCACAAATTGATCTCTAGATCTGACAAAGTAGTGTATGCAGAAGAGAGAAACGTATAAATCAGTACAAGGAAGACAAAAAGAAGCCCAATTTTTAAGAAGAAAGAAAAGAAAAAGGAAATGGGCAAAAAACTTGAACCGACACCTCACAAAAGAAGCTATCAGTGGTCAAAAAGCACATGAAAAGATACTCAGTATCATCAATCATGAGGGAAATGCAAATTCAAATCCCAGTGAGATCCCACAACACACCCACTAGAATGACCAAATGTAAGAAACCGGTACCAAGTGTTGGCAAGAATGTGGAGCTGCTGGAACTCTCATATGTTCCTGGTGCAAATGTAAAATTGTACAGTACTATGGAAAACAGTTGGCAGTTTTTAATAAACTAAGCATATGGCTACCATATGATACAGCACTTACACTCCTAGGCATAAACACCCAAGAGAATGAGCACTTATTTCCACCAAAAGACGTGGGTATAACTTACACTGGTGACCCGTAGGGAAGGCAGTATCTGCCAACCTTCTCCACTTATAAAGTTACCATTTTCCTTTGTAATTAATAAATATATTGAGGGAAATACTTTTTTTTAAATTTTTTTTTCAACGTTTTTATTTATTTTTGGGACAGAGAGAGACAGAGCATGAACGGGGGAGGGGCAGAGAGAACAGGCTCCAGGCTCCAAGCCATCAGCCCAGAGCCTGACGCGGGGCTCGAACTCACGGACCGCGAGATTGTGACCTGGCTGAAGTCGGACGCTTAACCGACTGCACCACCCAGGCGCCCCGGAAATACTTTTTTTAAAGTTTATTTTGAGAGAGTGAGAGAGAGAGCATAAGTGGGGGAGGGGCAAAGGGAGAGAGAGAACCCAATAGGCCCTTCACTGTCAGCATGGAGCCTGATGTGGGGCTTGAACCCACAAACCATGAGATTGTGACCTGAGCTGAAACTAAGAGTCAGATGCTTAACTGACTGAGCCACCCAGACAACCCTTGAGGGAGATGCTTTAAACTATGCAGATATCCTGAGTCTTTTCAAACTTTTGCTTGTTAACTTAAGCATCCATCAGTGGATCTTGCCTGCAACAATTATTACTATGGGCTACTGATGGTGATTTTCTATTTCCATATTCTTTCTACATTTATTAATTGGAATTCTTCTGTAAGGGAGATCTGTCCCCCTGCCCCTGTTTCTTTCTTTCTTTGTAACAGTATAGACGTCTGAATAGTTTCTTCTGTGGGTTACAATCTGTCGTTACTGATTTTGTGGCTTAAATAGTTACAAGACCCTTCTCTGCCAGGCTCTCCTTCCTCAGCCTCTCATCATTATTGTATTATTATTTCTTGAGTGTTATTATTTCTACATGTAGATGCCTATACTTCAAATTTGGACAGTTGTAAAAGGTTTTTAAAAGACTCCAAATAGTTTGTGTTCCAGAAAAATCCAGACATATCCAGAACTGGAAGAGCTCCTCAGAGATGAACATTAGTGGCATGCTGGGTGTCCTTCCTGTTCCCCTTCACACCTCTCCACCCTTCACTCTGCACTGGGGGCTTCCCCACGTGGATGATATCATGGCCTCCCTGCCTCAGCCTTCTGGGTGGTATAGCTAATAAGAGACACAAACAGGCGATGGGATGGGTGGAGAGTGAAGTGAGGTATTTATTCCCTTGACTCCCCTCTCAAAAGGTTTCTTCATGCCGGCTGCATCCTTCCACCAAATGCTGCCTCCCCTATATGACACCCTCCTTCCAGGTTTGGCAAACTATTTGCCTCTGGTCCCTTCACCCTCAGAGCTGGTAACAGCTCATCTGATACCAACCCTAGGTAACCATACCATCCCTCTTGGTTCCCCTAGACCCCACCCACAGCTTGGTAATGAAGTCCTGTTTCCTGTTGGGATTCTGGCTAATAAATCTCATAAACATCTAACATACCTAGAATATATATTTATCGAGAGTAAAGATTCTATAGCTTCCCTCCCTTGTTCACTCTTGGGGTTAATCACAACAATAGTTATTTTCTCAGCTCCAGACAGACTCTCCTCTGCCTTCACTTAAGCTCATTTTCTCTTCCCTGGCTCTGTGTGGTCGTAAAAAAAGAAAACAAACTGCTCAAAATCCTTTTCATTGGAAACTCTTTATGCAACTGGGAAGAGTAGTCATCACCTCTTAAACTTCTCTACTCTTCCTTTACTTGCCTTTGACCCTCCCCCTTTTCTTGTGTGCCTTTGGACCCTGTCTAGCTTCTGCACATCATGAAGTAAAAGAATGGCTCAAAAACATGAGGCAGGAGGAACATAGCCCTGTTCATAGCAGCACTACTCATAACAGTCAACAGGTGGAAGCCACCCAGTGTACATGGATGGATGACTAGATGAACAAAAGGTGGTATAAACACACAATAGAATATTATTCAGCCCTAAAAAGGAAGGAATGGGAGCACCTGGGTGGCTCAGTCGGTTAAGCAACCTACTTCAGCTCAGATCATAATCTCATGGTCTGTGAGTTCAAGCCCCGTGTCAGGCTCTGTGCTGACAGCTCAAGGCTGGAGCCTGCTTCAGATTCTGTGTCTCCCTCTCTCTCTGCCCCTCTCCCATTTGCACGCACGTGCTCTCTCTCTCAAAAATAAATAAATATTTTAAAAATTGATTTTAAAAAAAGAAAGGAATGGAGGAATGGTGGTTGCCAGGGTCTGGGGAGAGAGGGAATGGGGAGTTAGTGTTTAATGGACATAGAGTTGCAATTTTATAAGATGCAAAGACTTTCTGGAGATGGTGGTGATGGCTGCACAGCAGTATGAATGCACTTAATCCCACTGAACTATACATGTAAGAGTGATCAATTTTATGTCATGTGTATTTAATTAAAAAAAAAACCTGGGGAGGGCATGGGACACAATGGGCTCAGTGACAAGACAGTGAGGACTTCAGTGTGGGGCTCCTGTGGCAGGTGCTACTGAGGAACTTGGCTTAGGGGCCCTGTCTCACCAGGTACAGTTGAGCAGAGTAGCACAGACAAGGGACAGATGACAGGAATCAGTCAAGGCAACAGGAGGGATGGGGAAGAAGAGGAAGGAGGTATAGGTCATCACAGCTTCATGGATTCAGGAAATGTTTAAGGACAAACAAATATAAAACAGAGAAGATGTGGTCAATAAAGAATAGCTATTAGTCACTCCTAAATGTTTCATTTATGACTAAGCAATCCCAGTAATCCAAACAGGATTCCGGAACCTCAGGAAAGCAGTGTGAAGCCCACATCCCTCCTGAGAACATGCTCTGTCCAGGGGCACCGGGTGAAGGGCTTGGCTTGGCTGGGTCCTTGCTCGTGACCTGGACGCATGGGCAGCCAGCACTTTCTTCAGAGCAGGGACCTGGGGTAGTGCATCACTAAATGAGTTGATGCCGCATTTTTCACATCTTAAAACTTTGAACAGATTCCATCTGGGAGACATTAAGCACATGCCTGTTTGCAGATGTGTTAACCCCATTTTAATTACGATACAAGCCTTAACTGCCGAATGGCGTGTCTTGCAAGTCTATCACCAAAATATGCCTTTCCGTTTACTGAATGGGGCATGTGTGTAAACAAGGGCTGTAGCTGGAATTCCTCCTCCTCTTCCAGCTCACACCCATCCCTGTGCACTTGTCAGACCCAGATCACAAAACCAAATTATCTTAGAAATATTCATTTGCCCCAGGAAAAGGGTATCTAAAACTTTAAGTTTCGAGAGTGTTAGTGCATTTGCAAAGTGTTGGTTTTGGAGTTCTGACTTCAGACCCTCTTACAACAGAAGCGTGTGGGCAGTGGCGATTCAGCTTCCCTGGGGTCCACACCCGTATCTCAGCCACTCTGCCCTCTATGCTACCGCATAATTCTCCTACAGTTCTCCCTGCAGGCTGTGGCCTCGTGGACACCCTGAGAGTGTTTCTGCTCTGAGGGCTGGGAAACATATGAATGAAATAAAGAGTCCGAGCATGCCTGCATGTGACAGAGGGACCCAGATCTGTGGGGCAGCAAGAAATCCAGCCGGCTGCCTAGGAGAGTACAGGTTCTGGGCGGTGAGCTAGTCTCTGATGACTTTGGGCTACAAGAACATTCCTGGATTGTTACTTAATTTTTCACATCTGTGTGCCTTGACTGTCTAGGGAAGTGTAAATGCCTGGAAGGACTACAGATTATAGTCCTTTGGGGCCCCAATTTCTTCCTAGCTGCATGTTAGAGGGCTCTGTGTATTTGAATGACCAGATAGATAAATGCTGTTCTTTACAATGTCATGGGCACCTTGCAGGTTTAAGGTTTGAGATAAACAGATACTTCCTTGAGCCGGGTGTAGACAACAGTTGTCAAAGTGCAGTCTGGGGGACCCCTGGTGGGTCCGGGAGGTCAAAACAGCTTTCCTAATACAAACACATTATTTGCCTTTTTGACGCTCATGAATATACAGTGAACCTTTCTAGAAGCTCCTTGAAAGCTATGACTGCATGGCTCTGACATCTAGAATGAGTACTTGGGGATTTAAGATTTTTTCAATTTGAACCCACATACATATACAAGAGCTCTTTGGATCCTCAGTCATTTTTGAGAGTGTAAAGGGTTTTGCTGGAACCAAAAAGTTTGTGAACCTCTGGGCTAAGACTTGTGGGTTAGATCAGAGCAAAACAACGACCCCAGGAAAGACCTAGAAGAAAGGACTAGAAGCAGACAGTAATCATCTGTTCTTTTTTTGCAGGAAAAACTGCGTAGAAAATCTAATGGATGAAGATGAGAAAGACAGGGCAAAGAGGTAAGAAGGAGCATCTTCCCTGCCTTGGTCTGTTCTGTGCCATCTACGAGGCTCAAACATGCTTGTCCTCTTCCAGCATAGATGAGCTATCCTGTGCATGTCCTATGCAGCGGGACAGGCCACTAGGGACATGTTCTTGGTACCTACTCTCCTTGAAATATTGTAGTGCTCTACTAAAAAAATGTAGACCAGCTCCCCCAATTTTGTTCCTTATCCTGAAATTCCTCATTGTCTGGGACTTGCCAGGTGGTTTATATTTTCCACATGTTCATGTCTTAACCCTGGTGACTTGGGTCTCCTTTGAGAGGCTGCTGGCTCTTGCTTTTCCAGCACAGACACTGCTTAGCAAGGCAGCATGACCGGAGAGCCAGACAGACCTGAGTTCAAATCCCTGCTCCGCTGTGGGGAGTTGCCTGGCTTTGGACAATAATAGTAATAATCATTCCCAGATGTTGACCACGTAGTAATCATCCTCATGTGCTACGTGCTTCCATATACCCTATCTCAGTTTTCTCACCTGCACCTGGAGATATCGTAGCCACCTTGCACCGCTGTGGTATTGGCCAGAAATCCTAGTTCATTTGCTGGCATGTCAGAGCTCTTATAACCCTATTCTTGCTTATTCCTTCACTGGGCATTGATTGACTACCTACTGTGGGTAAAATGGAGTCATAAAGCTGATATTTTGAAGGTAAAGACCTGTCAAATGTTACCAACATCGCACAGTTTGCCCCCGTGGGCAGTTACTATGTCAGGCTTCAGGGAAATAAAGATGATACGAGGAGGACACAGGTGAATGGAGGTGGTTGGTAGGTGACTACAGATGATCAAGCTGCAAGTGACAGGCCCAGCAATGGAGTGTGTTCTCCTGGGAAAGTCTTCACTCAGGCCCGAGGACAAGCCTTCTCCCTCCAGTCTCATGTCCTTCTGTTCCCACAGTTGTGTGTGTACCTGGGAGCGGGGGGAGGAAGAGGGGACGGGTCCTTCAGTCCCCTGTGACAGGCTCTTGAACAGTTGCATGGCTGAAGGGATTGCCCACTTCCCTTCACAGAACCCACTGCCTGGTTGTCACTTACAGAATCCTCCACTTGCAAATGTTGCAGTCTTCAGAGATCCCCCAGTTCGGCATCTCCAGGGAGAGGGGCATCTGTCTTTCCCGTGTCACCAGTTGGGGGCGGAAAGGGTGGTGGGCATGAAGACAACAAATCCCCAGCCACTCCAGACCTGCTAGACCTGAATCTGCAGAACACAGAGGGAGTCTGTATTGGTTGTCAATTCCCCCAAGTATTTCCTTAAAGAAAAATCAGGGAGCAGGGGAAATGGCCAGAGTTGTAGGCCAAACGGGGTTGGCATGGAGTGAGGATTGTCGAAACTGGATGGTCAGCACGGGGGATTCATCATACTCTTATCTCTATACTTTTCCATGTTTCAAAATTTTCTCTGATAAAAATTTGAATAGACAACAATTCAAATAATACCTCAGTTTATTCTGCAGGAACATGCCCTTCCCTTGGCATTGGGAAACAGGACTCCCCACAGCCGTGCTTCTCAAACCTTAGGCCACAGCCTTCAAGGGTCACAAAATCCCTGTGGTCCCAAGTAACAAGTGGATGAATAGACTAACCCAGACCAGACAAGAATAGAATCTTCCTGCCCTCTCTCACAGACAGACTGGCTTCCGGTTCTTTCCTCTGTGTGTTTGACCTCTTGGTTTCCTCTGAGGTAGCTGTGGATTGTGTGCAGAGGGAGACAGCAGCGCTGTCCCAGATGATGAATTCCAACAAACCCTCACCTCTCCCGGCTTCTACTTCCTCACCTGCAACACTAGGCAATCATTTCTGTCCTGCAGTGACAGGGTTATTTGGGGAGGCAGCCACAAAATACCCAAAGAAGCTCTTTCGTGTGTGTGTATGTGTGTTAATCGTTACACACGTGTGAAAATACAGGACACTCTCATACATTTACAAGGTATTCTCCTTGGTTAGCAGCATGAAAAGATGGGTAGGGGTGGCCAGCAGTCACTGAGTGCTTCTTGTGTGTCCTAATCCTCTACACTAAGTACTTTTCTATGCGTTAGCTCATGTCATCTCAGTGTTCTCTGAGGTGTGTTTCATTGTTATCCCCATTCTACAGAGGAGGAAACGAAGGCTCAGTAACGTGGCAAACATCAAAAAGCTCTCACAAATGGCAGACGTTAAAGTTAAACAGGCTTCCTAACCTCAGATTCTGGTCCTATTCCCCTGACTACAAGAAAATCCCTTCATGTAGGGACTAACCCAGTCTGTCTGGCAGGCCCACACTGAGAGCTGTGTCGTGGTGTAACTTCGGAGTCCGTGGGAGTTTGCTTCTGCCATCCTCATGTTAATGTCACCTCCCAGGCCCCCCCCCCCCACCTCAGCCCTCCCTCTACTGCACTGCTTACCTCAAAATGCAGAGGAGATGAAATGCTACCATTCTCAGGGGTCACCGATGGAGACATTCCAAGAAAATCTTGGCTAAAAGTTCTTAGAAATAAATCAGGTCCTATGCAGTTTCTTTCCATTCACTCCCACCACCCCACCCCCCAACCCTGGGGCTTTGAGGAAGTGGGCATGCATGCTCTCACACTGCCCGTTTGGGAGTCCCCAGGCACACGTCTGGGGTAGTGAGGTTGCTGGCTGGCCCTCACCCCCTCTCGACCTCGGATGGGGAAACAGGTCTAGAACGCTTGGCAATACCCAGATCTGTTTGCCAGAATAGCAGTAATAATGCAGGATCCCTCATAACACTTGGGAGAACCCATGAGGAAATAACCATAATCCTAAGATTATATCCGTCTCAAAGCCTCTGGTTGTGCAGGTTTTGTAGCAGCAGCATCGGGAGGCCCTTCCCCTAATCCCACCTGGAGGCCTGAGAGGAGTAGTTTTCACTCACACAGTTTTTTTTGACAAGATTAGAAATGCTTAGCTTCAGATCAAAACCCTCATTGTCTCCAGAAAAGACACGCTATGTTGGGCAAGGTTTCCAAAGCTTTGGGCAATTCATGGTTTGTTCGGATTGTTTGATCAAGTATTCTGAACCAGGATACAGTTCCACTTTTCTTCTGCGAATTTCCGTGTAAAACCAGCGAGTACTGAGTGCCTATTGTGTGTCAGAACTATTTGCTATTTTTCCTTAGGGGCAATCCAAAAACAGGGTCCATGAACTCAAAAGGGAAACAGTCTGATTGAGAGACATTTGGAATCCCTAGATAATGAGGTGCACAGTTTACCATTTTGTGGTCCAGTGATGCACATGCCTTTCTAATAGTTTTGCGGGACGTGTGTCTGTGTGTGTGGCGGAGGGGGGAGTCATCCAGGAAGTGGCGCAGTGGGGCAGGAAGTGCACAGCTTAGTTAGGAATGAGACAGGCCTGGCTTTGACTTCTGACGCTTTTACTTTCTGTCCTTGGATGAGTTACTCAACTTCTGTTACTGAGGAACTAAATGCAGCTGCGTGTAAGCGCCTCCTCACACACTGCAGGGAACACAGTGCTAATAAGAAATGCTAAGATGCATGGAGCACTCAGTGTGTGCCTGCAGCAGCTGACATGCGTAAGCTCTCTCATCCTCACAACACCCCCCTCAACATAGGCTTTTACCTACTCATTTTACAGTTGAGAAAGCCAGGGCCTGGAATCACACAGCCAGTAAGTGGCAGGCAGGGATTCAAACCAAGGTATGATTTCGAGTTCTGGGCTCCTAACGACCTCTCCTGACAGTAAGTGGAAGCTGCTCCCTTTGGTCGACCATGTGCCCAAGGGGTAGGGACAGAAAGTGTTGTATGAATCCTCACTTTCCAAAGAAAGCCAGTTTCTATAACTTTGCAGTATTGTAAAGTACAACTTACTCCATTTCTTGAGAGAGGAAATTCTTTCATGGTGGCCTCTTCCTTCTGTCCAATATTGAATGAGTAATTCATCAGCATTCGTTAAAGTTACATTAACTCCTACCAGCTGGGAAGTTTTGTTTCCCTAATTGTGTGCATTTTCGTAGCAGGAGGGAAGATGGGTGGTGAGTTGAGAGCTATCGCTGCCTTTTGTTAATAAGAATGAAGAATGTCAGGCAAAATAGCTTGGGGTTCTCAATAAAGGATGCTGGTTTGCAAACACAAGCTAAACAATTTTATTATTCTTTGACCCTCATCCTTACAGTCTTAACACTGATAAAATGGCCAGGCAAGAGGGAGATAACATCGCTGCAACCGAGACACTCATCCATGCACTTTTGCAGAAGCAAGTGTTGCAAAAAGAAAAGCTTTAGCCTTAGCATTCTTCCTGGCTCCCCCCAGGGTAGTTTGTCGACATGGACCAATGACTGAGACCATTCGGACACCCTTCCATCAGTGTTGGTTAACTAAGAAATGTACTAAGCAGCAGGAAGATAAAGAGGAGGATACACAGCATCACCCTGCCCTCAAAGGATTTTGGAGCAAGTTAGGGAGGCATTCTTGAAAACAAGCATAAAGGAGAAATCATATCTTTCAGGGTCTGTGTTGAGCTAAGCCAGGATGATGGTCACAATTCATAAGCTCTGTTTCTCAGCCAAGTGCTCTTTCGTGGAGAGTAATATGGTTAAGAGGAAAGACTGGCCTCATTTTATTGTTTCATTTCTCTAGATGTAAATTCTGTAGGTCTGAAAGGAAAGGCTAGTCTGATCCATGAAGGTTGTAGCCCACTTGGAGGACTCCAGCTCCGGGCGCACTCACTGATGCCCCTGTGTACACGCTCAGTGCAGAATGAAAATCCTGACCCTGTGCAGTATATGTTGATGTTTCCAGCTGGAGCCTATCTTGCTAATTTTGCTGTGATTTTCTTTCATAGGCTCTTGACTGGGAGTTACGCATATCATCATAAGCCCCGACACAGGGAAAAAAATGATAGTAAAAACATTTTTGAGACTTCCTTTCTGTTTGTTTTATTTGGCGATTAAGGCAGCAGCAGGCATTGCAAGAATATAGACGTATCAGGACACACGATTCATT